AAATATGAATCTGGAATATGTATCTATCCCCATGAGTTAAGTCACCTCTCCCTCCCTGATGGAAAGGATCCTGTGTGTGGTAGAAAGATTACAAAAAAGGTCCCGATACTCCCCCCTCTCTGGACATATGACCCTTGAAATGCAGCTATGAAGCTGCTACCATTAAGAGATGGAATTGTGTCTCTCTCCTTTAAACTGGGCTGGCTTTGGGGAGATCCCTGGGTGGCTCAGTGGTTTAGCGCCTACCTTTGGCCCAGGGCATGATCCTGGAGTCCGGGGATCGAGTTCCGCATCAGGCTCCCTCCATGGAGTCTGCTTCTCTCTCTGCCTCTCTCTCTCTCTCTCTCTCTCTCTCCATCTCTCATGAATACATTTTTTTAAAATCTTAAAAAAAAAATTGGGCTGGCCTTGTGACTGGCCCGCAGAGAGTAGCGGAAGTGACACTGCAACAGTTTTTGTCCAGACCTACCATTGCTATGAGGATAATTCCAACCTAGTCTACAGCTATTGTGTGACCAGATGGAACAAGCCAAGCTGACCTAGCTGAGGCCATCTTAGACCACTCCACCCCAGCTAATCCATCATCTGACCACAGATGCATGAGGGAGCCCAACCAAGACCACAAGAATTGCCCTGTCTGTAATTTTGTGAAAAATAATTAATGATTATAGCCTTAAGGCATTAAATTTGGGGGTTAAGAAGTTGTCATGTGGTCAGACACTCCCTAATATGTTGATTTGGGATACTTCCATAGATTCAGCTAGTAAGGAAATAAGCACAAATGGATTTAGATAGTTTATTGTTCACAGCATAGCAGGTGACATGAACCTCATGTTTTCATTGGTTCCCTTTGTCCCCCAAGCACCATGGAGGTGATGCAGGTAAATGCTATGCACAAAATAGTTCTGTAACACAGATGAAGAACTCTGAGTATAGGAAACCCTCAATCTTAAAAGAGGAATGCTAGCAAACTTGCCTTGTGGAGACTTCATTATACTGGTCAGGATATAAATCTGCCTTCCAACACAGTGGGAGACATTCTTTTTAAAAATATTTAATTTATTTATTTGAAAGAGAAAGAGACAGGGCTTGAGCAGGGGGAGAAGGAGAAACAGACTCCTCACTGAGCAGAGAGTCTGAAGCAGAGCTTCATCCCAGGACCTTGGGATTATGACCTGAGCAGAAGACAGATGCTTAACCAACTGGTCACCTCGGCACCCCAGTGGGAGACATTGTTTAAGGCATCCTGAAATATCTCCAGGATTGGAGGGTGATGCCAGCTTTATTATCTTTATTATTAATATTCATTTAAATTTTTGGAAATAAGGAAATCTCCCTATCTCAAAGCAGTTTTCCAAACATTCTCAAACGAAGGGGTCAATGCCATTTGCTTAGAAATGTCAGCACTTCTGTTTGTTACAGAGTAGTATAGCTAGTTAATTTGCAGTGCAATCAGTCTATCATCAAGCAGTGTGTAGTCCCCTTATCCCCAACTCTGCAGGAATAATACTGGGGCTCAGTGTTGGTTTTTGCTGTTGGACATCCATCAGGAGCTAGACCAGCTCTGGTGAAAGGAAATCTATACTGTAGAGCCCATGCATAGCCATCATGGCCACTTTTTTCATGATTCCACTAAGCAAGCACTGGGAAGCTAGAAAAAGAGGCTGACATCCACAGGTTCTATCATTGTGTCCATTTATTTTTGAGCCTCTTCTAGGATGGATGCCCTCTGGTGGGCATTTGTAAGAAACACGAATATTTTCACCATTCCACGAAGTCCATCCACAAACCAACTCCCTAGGCCTTGTCACTGATCTTCCACTCTAGTACCTTCCAGTCTTTGGATAACCAGGAAGGGGCTTGGGCATGCAGCACTTAGGAACCAGCTTCCAGAACACTGAGTATAGCCAAAATGGATAGGGGAGGGGTGTGGGAAATGATGGGAAAATAGAGAATTAAAAAAAAAAAAAGGGATCCCTGGGTGGCGCAGCCCTGCCTTTGGCCCAGGGCGTGATCCTGGAGACCCGGGATCAAATCCCATGTCGGGCTCCCGGTGCATGGAGCCTGCTTCTCCCTCTGCCTGTATCTCTGCCTCTCTCTCTCTGTGACTATCATAAATAAATAAAAATTAAAAAAAAAAAAGTCCTCTAGAACAAAGGAGACCTGAAGACCTGGCATAGAGCTATGAACTAGGGTGCCTTAATGAAGGCAATCTCACAGGTTTCAATCTTTGTGTTTTCCTTTGGATAATAATGACATTTTTAAGTTTTTAAAGTTTTCATTTTTAAGTTTTTCTCTCCTGACTCTGTCTCTTTAGTTAATTCCAATAGATCAGAAAAATATCACGTACCCCTACAAATATCCAGAGATGTTTTTTTGAACATAATTAATATGCTTTACTATTTCACTTTTTCTGTTAAGAAACAGGAAGGGAGGAGATGGTATTATTGGGTAGGCAACCAAGAATGTCCCCTTCATTTATGTACTTCTAATTTGTATCATTTTGGATGCTTCTTCCTTTTTTTTTTTTTTTTTCATAGCCCTGTAAGCCCCACCACCTTAAATCCTTTTTTGGAGCATGGATTAAATTAAATCACATTGAATTAAATGAGTATTCTCCTCCCCAATAATTTTAAGCCTCTACAAATGTAATTTTAATCACTGTATAACATTGCATTATATAGATATAATATAATACACTTGACTTATTTCCCATTGTTTTGCTTTTAGAATTTAAGTGGGATGAAAATAGTATGTTATCTTAACTGTATTATGGATAGGGAATGGAGAGGGAATATTGAAATTGCCCTTGTTTAATAAAATAATTTGAAAAATTGCTCAGGAAGAAAGTCAGATACTAAATGCATGCATGCAGGCAAAAGCCAAAGCAATAAAAAAGGTAACTAACCTGGAACGTGGTCTTCTCCTGGCAAATGACAAGAACACAAGAGGGCTGATGGAAACTTGGCATGCACCTATAGCCTGAATTTAGGACTGGCACAATCACTTTGCTGCATATTCCATTGGCCAGATTAAGTCATGAAGCAACCATGAAGTCAATGGGGTGGGAAGATTACTCCCACCTAAACAGAAGCATGTCAAGAACAGGGAAGGAAGAAAGAATAGGAAACAAATACAATCTGCTAGTAAAAAGCCCCTAGTGTTGGGGGTGACTGAGACTTTAAGAATAGATGCGTCCAATACTCAGTCTGAAGTTATCTGCATACACTGTCTTGTAAACTTCCTCCCCTTTATTTGCCTGTATGTGCCACAGTCTGCTATGTGCACAAGTAGCTCATGGGAGTAGCATTTGTAAAAATTAAGAAAAAGATATGAGTGTTCAACCTGGGTGAGCATTGTATAGAACAGCAATAACAAGCTCAAGACATCTAGATGATCCATGAATCCAGCAGGAGCAAAGAACCAGAATTAATATAAGATAACAAGCTCTCTGGGAATGTACAGAAATCTTGAGGAAGACATTGACCTTTACATAATTAACAAAATTGAGATTTTAAGCAATCCTATTTAGATCTTATAGAACAGAGTGTCTCCTGTGAATCTAATCTCATAAATGTAATTACTGATCAGAGTATAAACTTTTTTTCAGGCTCTTGATAAATAATGTTGAATTGGTTCATGATTTAAAAAAAAGTTCAAATAGGATTTTTTTCACTTAAAATTGTCAGTCATATTATATACCAAAAAGGAAAACATGGAAGAACTTTTGAAAATAAGAAAAAATGTACATGCAGATGTGGTTATTGAATTATAGCCCTCATTGAAAATGACTATTCTGAGCAATTTTATGTTTAAATATGAAACTCCCTGACAGTAGTAATTCCTTAGACCTTGGAAATTAACCTTGATCTTTGCCAGTGGTTTATTAAGGATGTGCTTTCAGGGGATTGAGTGTGAGAGAAGTAGACGATAGCAGAGGAAGAATACTGAACAAGAATGTGGTGTCAGATGAAGATTGCCTCCAGCCAGATCCCACAAGGAGCACCAGAACAGGAACTGCACTAGACTAGAGCTGATTCCTCCTTGAGGTAAGGGCTCAGTCTTCTATACCTCCACACAAGCAAGATAGCAATTCTAGAGCAGGTCTCAAAACTAGGGTACATCAGGGATCCCTGGGTGGCGCAGCGGTTTGGCGCCTGCCTTTGGCCCAGGGTGGGATCCTGGAGACCCGGGATCGAATCCCACGTCAGGCTCCTGGCGCATGGAGTCTGCTTCTCCCTCTGCCTGTGTCTCTGCCTCTCTCTCTCTCTGTGTGACTATCATAAATAAATAAAAATTAAAAAAAAAAACAAAACAAAAAAACTAGGGTACATCAGAATAATCTGGAGAGCTTAATAAAACAGATTGTGGGGTCAACTCTCAGAGTTTCTGATTCAGTAGGTCTGAGGTGGGGGCCAGAGAATTTGTATTTCTAAGAAGTTCCCGGGTATTGCCAATGCTGCTGGTCCAGGGACCGCCCTCTGAGAACCACTGGCCTTGAGAAAAAGACAGATGTGAGGCTTTAGCAGTCACCACTCACAGCACCTGGAAAACAATATCTGAGTGGCATCTACAAAAGACTACAGGTATGAAATTGGCATCTTCCTCATGAAGGCACATAACAGGGCTAGAGGATTGGACCACAAGCTGAGGCTGCTGGGTAGACTACATTTTCAGATCATTTTATCTAGCTTCATGGTATTCTGTTATCTTCCAGCTATCATCCCGCATCTCCAGCCAAAGTATTGTTGAAACATTCCAACTTACCTCCACCTTGCTATTTGGACTTATAAGGAAGCATCTGGCAGGTAAGTGAGGCTTTAAGGAGGAAGCTGCTGCAACTCACTAGGCAAGGACAGTGGAGTCAGTTGCAATGAGTGGAAAATCCTCAACAGGGAAATAATTAATGGGGAGGGGGCGAACCTCCTAGACCACCTTGGAAGTTGCTTGGTTTTGGGGTTTTGTGTTGTTGAAATTAAAGAATGATGGCCTTTATTTTTTAATATTTTATTTATTTATTCATGAAAGACACACAGAGAGAGGCAGAGAGACACAGGCAGAGAGAGAAGCAGGCTCCATGCAGGGACCCCGATGCGGGACTCCATCCTGGGACTCCTGGATCACGCCCTGGGCCGAAGGGAGGCACTCAACCGCTGGGCCACCCAGGGATCCCAAGACGGCCTTAAAAAAATTTTTTTTAAGATTTTTTTATTTATTCATGAGAGATACACAGTGAGGCAGAGACACAGGCAGAGGGAGAAGCAGGCTCCCTGTGGGGAGCCTGATGCAGGACTCAATCTGAGGACCCAGGGATCACAGCCTGAGCCAATGACAGCAGCACACCCACTGAGCCAACTAGGTGGCTTTTGAAGGCGATTTTTAATTTCATAAGTCCCCCCAGAACCCTTAACAAACTGTCCCCGCCCCCTAGGGATCACCACCAGCTGAAGATGAATGTATAAAAGTAATTTAAATACTTGGCCCGCAATGTCCTCTCGGAGTACTGTTCATAGTATACCTGGTACCCCCGGGCCTCAATGTCCATCTTCACGCAGTCGAGGAGGTCCTTGACCTGCGGGGCCGCCTTCCAGGGCCCGAATTTGACCACAGACCTCTTTTCGCCCTCCAGGATGCGCAAGGCGTCTGCGCACAGCGCGGCATCCTCTTCGGAGCGCACCGCGCACACCAGCACCGCGGAGCTGCGTGCCGCCACCGCCTCGGCGCGGGCCAGGTGCACCATGAGCTCCAGGTTCTCGCTGTAGCCTGCCACCCGCAGCAGGAACTGCTTCCGAGCCACCTGCTCCCCAAAGATCTGTGGCATATCCTCCAGAAGCTTGACCAGAGGCTTGATTTCGTAAAACTGCGCCTCACGGTACACCTCCAGGATGTGGTGCGTGGGCAGCCGCTCGCTGCGCAGGTAGTCCAGGATGGGTCCGAAATAGGTGCCCGGGCGATCGATGAAGAGCCGGCCCTCTGCATCCGTGCAGGCCTTAGCTGAGCTGGAGAACATCTCTGCTAGCTTTGAACCCGGGAGTTTTCTCAGGGTGCCCACGGTGGTGGTGTACAACTCTCCTCCTACATTAAGCTCCACAACAGGAGATGCCTGAGGGCACAAGAGGCAGAGTGAAATAGCAGTGTCCCCTCTAGGGAGCTCATGGCTTATTTTCATCCATAGGATATTACAGAATATTAGTCCAGGAGGCTGCTATGGAAGCAAGTCCCAGTGACAACGCTTGCAAAGCCTGTGGCCTTTGGGAAAGCTTTTTCCCTCCCTCTGCCTCAGTTTCCTCATTTATAAAATGTGGATATGGAACTGTTGTGAAGTCAGAAATTCCCAAGGTAGGATGCTCAGATCTACGATATAGTAAAAAAAAAGGAGGGGGGAGGGAATGGGGGCAGGGAGGTATTCTCAACCTTTCAGAGAGGTTGAGAAACCATACACGTGTTCATTCAGGAAGCATTTCTTGGGTACTTACTGTGTGTCCACATCCTGTGGTGGGAGTTGGGAGTACAAATTCTTTTTTATTTTATTTTATTTATTTATTCATGAGAGACACATACACACACACACACGCACACACACACACAGAGGCAGAGACACAGGCAGAGGGAGAAGCAGACTCCATGCAGGGAGCCTGACGTGGGACTCGATCCCAGGTCTCCAGGATCATGCCCTGGGCTGAAGGCAGACACTAAACCGCTGAGCCACCCAGGCCGCCCATGAGAGTACAAATTCTTATTTAATATAGGTCAGAAGTTCTGATTAGCAGCTGGCATGACTTTGATTCTTTAAGGGAATTTGTTTGATAGACATTTTTCAAAATATGGGCCAGTAGATAGTAAATAATAGGAATATCCTTGGTTCTGAAAAGGTCACTAACACCAGATAATAATGGTGTATAAAATGGGCCTCATAAACTTTAAAGTGTGATGCCAATGGAAGTTGGTCTACAGAATTTGTAGAGGCCTCTTCTCTATGCCAAACCTTGAGCTGAGCACTAAGGATGTGGGTAAGACCCACGTGGTACCTGCCTGGAGATGCCCACAGGCCAGTTCGAGGGGGACGTGGAAACAAACTGCATTTGGGGAATACTGAGGGCTGCCAACAGACCTAATAAAGATACCAGAAGATTATTATGTGTGCGGTGATACGCTAGTTGTTATTCTTACAAACCAGCTTCCTGAATAACTTTGGCTGTTTAAAATGGATTCACACGGGATCCCTGGGTGGCGCAGCAGTTTGGCGCCTGCCTTTGGCCCAGGGCACGATCCCGGAGACCGGGATCGAATCCCACGTCGGGCTCCCGGTGCATGGAGCCTGCTTCTCCCTCTGCCTGTGTCTCTGCCTCTCTCTCTCTCTGTGACTATCATAAATAAAAAAAAAAAAAAATTAAAAAAAAAATTTTAAAATGGACTCACGCAGTCAATAAAATACGTATGTGCCAGGTGCCTGGTACACACTGAGGAACAAGCAGGACAGTTTCTCCACTCATAGTCTAATAACTATGCAAAGTGCTTTACATTCAATCTTTAATTCAATCCTCACAGCAGCCTGATGAAGGATGAATTAAATCCCCATTTTATCGATGAAGAACCTAAGGGTTAAGGAGTTGAAGTAAATTGCCTAAAATCAAACCAGCTATTAAGTGTTGACTCAGAACTTGAACTGGGGGCCAAATTACCCTGAAGCACTTGCTCTTTGTCATGACATCAGCTAGGTTTCAACTTTAAATACCTCCACTCCTCATTCCCTTAGTTAAAAGCCTATTACATCCAGGCCTCCTCCAGAGCAGATGAAGAGGGCACAGTCCCTGCCCTCAAGGAGCTCGCAGAGGAGAGAGGGAAACAGAGGGCTTCACCGCGCAGGCACTGATTGGGGAGACTCAGAGGCTCTTCATGTGGATGTGTGTTAGAGGCTGTCAGGGAAGGTTTCCTGGGTGGGTGATGGCTGCAGCCACAGAAAAGACGGAGGCAGCATCAGAGGGGAAGGCTTATATTTCCAACCTGAAGACTCTGCCACAGGTCACTGGAGAGTCAGGAGGAGTGACAGGGTTCAGGAATGTCCTGGGTGCTCATTTAGGTGTGACTTCATTCTCAACTTGTCTGTGGGCTCTACCTCTAAGATTAAAGTACTGGAATAAAGAGAGCCAGAGGCAGCCAAGCTGCTGGGGAAGGAAAAAAAAAAAAAAAGAACTGAGTTGCCATGGAAACAGCTCCTACAGGGAACAGTTCTGCTGACTGGAGTGGAGAAGGGAGACCAAGAGGATGAATTCTGACAGCAGCAGAACAATACAGCCGGGAGAAAAATAAATGGAGAAACTGTGACTTTCTCTTTCTCCCCTAAACCTCAAGGCTCCTGGGCAAGACTGTTGGGTTAACGCTGAAGTGGCTCTATGAAGAAGACAGGTGCAAAGTTACAGTCTTTAACCCTTGAATGGATTCATGTGCTCTCATCACTCCTGTGCCACTGAAAGGTCACAGGTGCTCTTGAGGTCCCTTTGTTACAGGCGAGGAAAGCTCAGAAAGATGGGTTATACAGCTAGGAAGTGAAGTCAGAGCTGCAATCAAACCCTGTCAGTGTGACTCTGGTAGAGAATGGGGGTACCCCTCCCGACATCCTGTCCCACTCCTGCTGGTAATTAGCAGTGTGTCAAAGTAAGCTCACTTTCTTCTGTGGGCTTAAGCCTCATCATCTATGAGATAGGGAGGCAAAATAGACACAGAGAGCTCTAAGTCTCTTCGGCTCTGAAAGTCTAATGAATCCAATCACTTCAAATGTTGTTTCTGAAGCTCATTTCCAGATGCTTCACCAAACATCTTCCCACTCTGATATTCTCACGCCCATTTCTTTGTTTACCAAATAAGACCTCTGTCTTGTTCCCAAACTTCTTAATTCTGTCTCTCTTTTCCCTTCTCTCACTTTCTCTTTTTTAGGATTTTATTTATTCACAAGACACACAGAGAGAGAGGTACAGACATAAGCAGAGGGAGAAGCAGGCTCCCTGAATGGAGCCTGATGCGGGACTCGATCCCAGGACCCCAGGATCACACCCTCAGCCAAAGGCAGACACTCAATCACTGAGCTACCCAGGGCCCCTCTTTTCCCTTCTTTTGTCCCCAAATCTTCCAATTTCTTCGGAAACCTTAGATCTCCTAACTCATTCACAAATACTACTTATGTTTCTAGCAGATAAAGACTTCTTTTCCACCCCTCTCTGGACCACCTGTTCATTTTCGTGGCTCCTCTTCCCTACCTTTTCTACCTACCAGTCACCCTGCTGAAGCATTCCTGGGTAAGAAAGCCTATCTCAGGCCCTGTGTGCATGGGCTAGGAAAACATGATCTTTAGGAGCCCTTGCTGGGTATCAGGCCAGCACTAGCCCTGAGGGGACAGAGATGAATCAGACAGACCTAGCTCTTACCCAGTTGTAGTCTAAAGGGTCACTATACACATACAAACGCCCAGTCAAGCATTCATACATGTCCTTAGGTTCCTTAGTAGAGTCAATGGAGGGACATCTCCACTCAGGTTTTCCAAGCCCCTCTAGATCTCTCCCCACCCCAATCCTGACCTTTTCCGTTGTTCCCTATTTCAGTCATCTAGCCAGAAATCCAGATTATAATCTTGTAATCTGCTCCTATCCTCAACCTCCTCCCACATAGGTCGTCAGTAACCAAGTCCTTGTGATTCTAAATTCTGGCCAATTCCATGGCTCCCTGCTCCCTGGAGTGCCTTTCTCCAATCCAGCCTCTGAAACCAGAGTAGTTTTTCTGAAATGCAAATCTGATCTGGTCACACCTTGCATTAGACACTTCTGTCACTTTGCATTTCTTTCCAGATAAACTCAAGATACTTTAATAAGGTTAATAAGCCCCTTTGCAGCCCTGACAATCAACTACCAGAACCACTCTCCCCCACCCACCCAGAGCAGACTGGTCCCCCTGGCCTCTAGGACTTGATGCATTTGCTGCCCACACTCCCTTCACTTAGACTACTCATCCTTCAAGTTAATTCCTCCAGAAATCTTTCTAGATGGATTGTCTCCTTGTAATCCTACAGGTCTGTGTACTTCCACTGTCATGGTAGTTATCTCTTATAGTTCCATTTGTTCATCTGTATCCCCCACTAGACTGTGAGGTTCCTGAGGGATGACTATTCCAGATTCATCTTTATGTCACCAATACCTACTACAGGGGCTCACACCAGGATGATCAATAAATGTTCAATTGAGTGGAGCTTACCTGCTGCACTGATTTACAGGAGCAACTGGTATTCTGATAAAAACCAGTCTTTCCCTATCTGGCATCATGCACTATGCTGGCTCCTCTCTTGCTCAGTAATTCATTGAGACATTTATTGAGCACTTAGGGCAGCCCTGACACTAAGCAGGTGACTTTGTCAACTGCCAACCACAATGACATTGCCCTATAGGAAAGAGCCACAGTCTCCTCCTGCTGGATCTGCTTTCCCTTCCTACAAGTCTTCAGAATGGCACCTAGCCCAGGAGAGATTGGAATGTTCTTCTCCTGGAGTGCCCTGGGCCTTTTCCTGATCCACCCGGCAAACTCCCCTCAACCAAGCCCCGGATCAAGGCAGGCAAGCAGGCGGACTCGAGATCCTGCCAGAGGGCAGGGGCAGGCTGATGAGGATGGGGAGGTGGTGGGTGAGGGAATGATAGTCCCGCAGCCTTTCCTTGGGTCTTTTGCTCCCAGGAAGAGGAGGGACAGTGGAAGAGCCTGGACTAGGACAAGCCAGGGGACTGAGGGAAGACACAGAAAACAGCTAAAACAAAGCCTCAACAGTGAGGAAGGAGACAAACAAAGGCGGCCACACAGGAAGGAGGGCAAAGAGGAGAGCTGGACCCAGCCAGATGGGGAACGGGCACCGGTGGCTGAAGGAGAGCAGAGCCCGAACCAGCTAGAGGGGGCCAGCGTCCAGCCAGCGGCGCGCCCAGGGGCTGGCGGACGCAGGCCCGAGGGAGGGACGCACGCAGGACCCTGAAGGGAGTGAAGGAGGACCGAGGCGCGGGACAGGGCGCCCGCCGGCCGCGCACTCACCGCCGGCGGCCCCGGGGAGGGGCAGGCCTGGCCGGGCCGCAGGGA